ACAATCAGAAAAATAATCTTAACATTTTCATAAGAATTTTTTTTTTTTTTTTTTTTAATATTTTTTTGACACCAGGAGACACTTCAGGATTTGGGGTTTAGACAGTCAAGGGGTTAACATTTCTGCAAGCGGCAGCGCTCCATGTTGCCATCACCTGAGCATTCAGCGCAACTTCGCGGGCTTATACCTTGGTAAGTACTGACTCTAGCTTTTTTTTTTTCTTATCTTATAACGTGTAGAATAATGCCCTCTTAATTAAAAAAAAAAAAAAAATTCTAAATATTTGGTGCACTGGGCGAGAAAACGTAGATCTACATTTGGACAGTTTAAGGGTTAAATAAGGTATTACAAGGACCCCAATGGAAGTAAGTTACAACGACTTTTTTGGGTTATCCTAAGTAATCTACACATACTCTGCTCTTCTTCTTTCAACAAACCAGCCGTATCCCAGTAAGGCAGGGTGGCCCAAAATAGAAAAACAAAAGTTTCTCTTTTTAACTTTAGTAATGTATACAAGAGAAGGGATTACTAGCCCCTTGCTCCAAGCATTTTAGTTGCCTCTTACGACATGCATGGCTTACGGAGGAAGAATTTTGTTCCACTACATATGCTGCTATGTATGATAATTTATGTTATTGTATTTATGTGCACCTGTACCTGAATAAACTTACTAAACAATCCACACTCTTGCACCTCAGCCCAGCCTATAGGGCCATAGCATCCCTTTTCACTCTGTCAGAATCACTGACATATACCAGCAGCCACAATATAAGGCAGGAAATATTATTTGTGTTACATTCGTAGCCTTAAGCAATACATTAAACATAATGCATCACGATAATGAACAACAATTCCATTATCATTTTTATTGTTGTAAGATTTCGCATTTTTGAAGGGGTCCCTGAAACGTAACCCCATTTTTCCCATAAAATTCTAAAGTTTGTTTAACACAGAATGTAACTACCATGTTAACTGATGGTCTACTGTACATAGTTTTTCTGGTGGCACTGGACTAGAAAGAATGTCTTGTCATTTCTTGCCATACACTCCTACAAGCCGCCCAGCTACCACACCTCACAAATAAGTCAATTTGTTCTAGTATGGTTGTATGTATTATATTTATATGATATGTAGCATGTTTCTTATATAATGATGAAGAATATCATAGATGGATTAATGAAAATGTCTATAATAAAGTAATAAAGTACCCCAGAGCAATTATTATTATGTTTCTTATGTTTTTACATCTTCAACACTAGTGAGAAAGTCTTAGCTACTTCCTCGCCTGGTGTAGCTACTCTTACTTTGTAACAATGCTAAATAATGATTTCAATGTACTTGCACAGATGTGTAAGTTTATTTAGGTACAGATACAGTGGAGCCCCGGTTATCGGATGTTTTTATGGCGCCCAGTTATCGGCCATTTGGGACTTGTCCATCTGCCGGCTAGGGCCGCTTGCGAGTTAGTTTGGCTTTGTCTCTCGGTGGCTGAGGAAGCTTTTGCTTATACATCCAAACATTTTGCTTATATCCCATTGTAGTTTGTGTTATTTTTGCAGTGCAACTGTGAAATAAGTAACCATGGCTCCAAAGAAAGTTCCTGTGGTAAAGAAAGTGAGAAACACCATGGAATTTAAGTGTGAAGTGATAGAAAAGTTTGAAAGTGGTATGAAGGTGGTGGAACTTGCCAGGATGTACAGCAGGAATAAATCAACAATTACATCCATCCTGGCAAAGAAAGAACAAATCAAAGATGCTAATGTTGCAAAAGGAGTAACTTTTCTAACTAAACAAAGGCACCAATAATGTAAGAGATGGAAAAGTTATTATTATTGTGGATTAAGGAAAAAGAATTAGTGGGAGACAGTGTTGTGGAGTCTATTGTTTGTGAGAAGGCAAGGCAGTTGCATGAGGATCTTGCAAAGAAAATGCCTGGAACAAGTGCTGCAGTTTGTGAATTTAGGGCCAGCAAAGGATGGTCTGATAGATTTAAGAAGAGTAGTGGAATACACAGTGTTGTAAGGCATGGTGAGGCTGCAAGTTCTGACAAATGTGCGGCTGAAAAGTATGTTCACGAATTTCAATACTATGCAAAGGCTGAAGGATTCAAACCCCAACAAGTGTTCAATTGTGATGAAACAGGCCTGTTTTGGAAGAAAATGCCAAAGAGGACCTACATTACCCAGAGGGAAAAGGCATTGCCAGGACACAAGCCTATGAAAGACAGGCTTTCTCTTTTGTTGTGTGGTAATGCTAGTGGGGATTTCAAAGTGAAGCTTTTACTCATGTATCACTCAGAATATCCCAGAGTGTTTAAGGAAAGCAATGTCATGAAGAATAGATTGTGTGTGATGTGGAAAGCTAATAATAAGGCATGGGTCACAAGGCAAACTTTTAAAGAGTGGGTTAATGATGTGTTTGGCCCAAGTGTGAAAAAATACCTCCTGGAAAAGAAATTGCCACTCAAGTGCCTCCTGTTACTGGACAATGTTGCTGCACATCCTCCAGACTTTGAAGACCAAGTGTTTATGGACTTCAGTTTTATAAAAGTGAAGTTCTTGCCTCCTAACACCGCTCCTCTCCTCCAGTCCACGGACCAGCAGGTCATTTCTAACTTCAAAAAACTCTACACAAAAGCAGTTTCAAAAGTGCTTTGAAGTGACATCAGACACTCAGTTGACCCTAAGACAGCTCTGGAGGAATCACTTCACTATCCTCCACTGCATAAGCCTTACAGGTAAGGCTTGAGAGGGAGTGACTTCCAGGACTTTGAACTCTGCTTGGAGAAAACTGTGGCCAGATTGTGTCCAAGAGAGGGATTTTGAAGGGCTTGAGGATGACCCTGACCCTGCCGACCCTGTGGACTCTACTGTGGCACTGGGGAAGTCCCTGGGGTTGGAGGTGAGTGGCAAGGATGTGGAAGAGTTGGTGGAGGAACACAGGGAAGAGTTAATCACTGAAGAGCTTCATCTCAAACAGCAACAGACTGCAGCTGAGGAACTTGCTTCAGAGGAGGAGGAAGAGGGAGTGAAGGAGGTGCCATCTTCAGAGATTAAAGAGGTGTATGCAATGTGGACTAGGGTGCAAGCTTTTGTAAAGAAACACCACCCTGACAAAGCTGAAACAAGCCATATCTGTGACATGTTTAGTGACAAAACCCTGTCCCACTTCAGGGAAATCTTCAAGAGACGCCAGAAACAGAGCACTCTGGACAGTTATTTTGTGAGACAGGGATCCAGTGACTCTCAAGTTGGTCCTAGTGGCATTAAAAGACAGGGTATGGAAGTAACCCCAGAGAAGGCTCTGCTACTTAGTCTTTATAGAGGGGGATTCCCCTTCCAAACATAAACTCCTCCCTCTTGCCTCCTCCCTATCTTCCAGAAGCCAGCATTAGCCTTCAATAAAGGTATGTGATACTTACATAATTGTTAAAAAAATGACTTTGTGAATATTTTTGTTTGGAACGGATTAATTGTATTTCCATTAATTCTTATGGGAAATATTAATTCGGTGTTTGGCCATTTCGGTTATTGGCAGACCTTCTGCAACAGATTACGGCAAATAACCGGGGGTCCACTGTACACATAAATACAATTATCAGTATTATCTCAGCCATAGACATACCTTGCTCACTGAGTTTAATCACTTCTAACTTTGCACTTAAAATAGCCTTATGACCCTTCTTTTTATCACAACTACCCTTAGATGTCACTAACACAAAAAGAGTACATCTACATAAAAATATGCAATAACTTTATAACACCCAGAACTTTGGAAAGTTTCCAGACAGAATCGAGAGAGATGCGGAGCTTACAGAGGATGTAAACAGAGAAAATGACATGTGAGGACCCAGATGGGAGCTCAGGCCATAATAGTGAATTAGGAGTCGCATAAACAAATTTCTGGGTAGAATTTGAAATGTACTTTTGTTTTTCTTTTTTGAATTTTGTTTTTCTTTTTAGGCCACCCTGCTTTGGTGGGATACAGCTGGTTTGTTGAAAGGAGAAGAATTTGAAATGTCTGTATTAGTGAAGCACCAAGAAGTAAAACATCATAAATCAGGGCCCTCCTGTACTCAATTTTATGCTCATGCCAATAACATCAAAATTAGGCAATATCCACCAATACAAATACTTTGACACACCCCTACCTTGTACTTCATATACCTTATACTTTCACCATAACTGGCACTAAATAATGATCCGATATATTTACTGCTCTCTAAAACCATGCACACGTAGACGTCTACCCATCAACCTAGTATTTACTAATACACAGTCTATCAAACTGCTATCATTGTTCCATTTACCCTATCATATCTTGTATAATTTTATATCCTCTTTTTCTTAAAGTAAGTACTGCTTATTACCAAAGCCCTCTCTCTTTTTTAACAGACTAGCCATCTCCCACTGAGATAGAGTGATCCAAGAAAGAAGAAACATTTTTACTCACTCCATCAATGTCTTGCCAGAGGTGCATCAATACTACAGTTCAAAACTGCAAATATCCCCACTCCTCCTTCAGAGTGCAGGTGCTGTACTTCCCACCCCTAGCACTCCAAACTTGCCTACTATGCCATCTACGACAGCTTCTCTAACTTTAAATGCATATACAAAATTATATGACAAACAAGTGAAAATGTGTAAGTACTTATGGGCAGGGCACATCAGCATCAAGCCAAGTGTGTGTCAAGAATTAAAACAACAAATGTAGGAATGTAACACTCTATTATTTGAAATTTATTATCAAGAGGTTTATGCTGACTTGGCTATTTCCATAATTATTAAATACAGTACACTGTTTATATTAGCAAATCCTTATGGTAAGATGATAATTATCCCCACACTCACTGTCTAACCAACAACAGGACAGTCATTTCTTTCTCATCTTATCATGACTAACACAGAATATACAGTACAGTTTTACTAATCCAAACACACATCATATGATTCAAAGCCTAGACTTAGAGTAATATGAATTTAACATGCAATAACACTAACCTGGGGAGAACTAAGCTTGCAGAGTCTAATGGAATTTGACTCAGAGCTATTTCAAACAATTTTTCAAACTGTTTCACAAGGTTAACCTGAAAATCTTGGAGCTGAGGAAAGGTATACAGTGGTAAGTACAGAGATGAGTTACACTGTCCGAATCACCGTACACATAGCTGAAATGAGGGAGGAGGCCAGGTTAGTGTATTAATGCCTTTACTTAATAAGCCAATAAGTCCAAAAAAAGGCCAAAAAGTTAACCATTTAATGTTTTGTTCTTCACAAATAAAATAAAACTAGGATGAGACCTAAATATTACTGAAAGAATGAGGCAGAAATTGAAAAAAGGAGATGAGTTAAAATAAAAGACCACTATGGCAATGAAACACACATTAAAATATTAAATTCAAATAACCATCAGTTACCAGTATTGAAGCAAGCTGTCACAGAGACAAAGTAAGTTACTGTAGATTTTGGCTGTGCTCAGACAAAAACAAAATAAGAGTACAACATATAAAAGCAGATGTACAAAAAGCAAACAGATAGTAACAATTCATGTTCATTCAGGAAGATTTACTATAAAAAAGAAAAAAGAAAAAATGGATTTGGAAGCTTTAAGGGCATATCAATTAGAAAAGACTTGTCAAAAAAGATATACCTAAAATAATAGAATATACAGAGACTGATAAAATACTAAATGACAAAAGAAATAAAGATAAAAAAGATAAAAAGATTTTGAGAAAATTCACCTATCAAATAGAGTGGTCCTTCAAGTTATGATATTAATCTGTTCCAGATAATGTACCATACTTCAAAACCCCAAAATACATGTCTTGGCAATTCATTCCAAGACCCTGGAAGTGCGACTTTTACTGCTTCTTGGACATGAGGAATTGGTAGTATGGCGGTGGTGCGAAGAGGGTGAAAACGAGGTTACTGGTTGGAAGGAAAAGATTCTTCCAACTCCTGCCTCTAGAAAAAACTGTCCAGAGTCATTTGTTTTTGTTGCTTTCTTCTGAGGCTCTTAAAATGAGATGAAACATTTTCCTCAGAAACACACGAAGCGAATTCAGTTTTTACAATGTCTCGTGCTTTCTTATATTCTTTTCACACTATCTCAATGAGTAAACAACTCCTGAATTTCTGCAGCTGTTATCCTATGATCATCACCCTTTACTTCTTCCTCCTCAATGTCCTTCTCGTCCATATTCCCAAATTCCTGTAGCTCCTCTGTTGTCAATTATCTGTTGTCCTAAATTAACTCCTCCACATCCTCTTCAACCTCCAGCCCATTACCTAACCAAGAGTGACAATCTCCTATTTTACATCCCCCTCAGCCTCAAATCCTTAAGTCATAAGTGATTGAAGTTCACAAGGTCTTCCAGGTCACAATGAGGCAATGAGTGGAAAAATCATTCCAGGAATTCACTGAGTCTCACACAATCTAAAATATCACACTTAAGTGTTCCAGAATTCATTGAGGCTGATAGTGCTATCTCCTAAAGTCTCTGCAAAGCATTGGCAAACTTCATCTTCGTGTAAATCTTTTTGAAATTTGCAGTCACTTGCTAGTCCAAAGGCTGAAGCAGAGGCTTGGTGTTGGGTGGGAGGAGTTTAATTCTAACAAAATTACATTCTGCCACCAGAGATTGGATAAGTTCTGGATCATGTCCTGATGCAATATCCAACAGTAACAGTGCCTACAGGGGAAATCTATTGATCTGCAGATAACTTGTGACTGACAGACAAAACACTTCTTAAGCCCATTCATTGAGGAATTGTGTTTGTCACCCAAGCCTTCTTGCTGCAATGCCAGAACACACCCAACTACCCTTGGATACTTTTTGTGGTTTAAATCCTCTGGGGGTTTTCTTATTAATCAGGTTAAGAACATAAGAACATAAGAACGAAGGAACACTGCAGAAGGCCTACTGGCCCATGCGAGGCAGGTCCAAGTCTCCTACCGGCTTAAGCCAATGTACCCAACCTAGTCAGGTCAGGTCACATTGACTTAAGGGAGGAACACGGCAACCGACCTGTTAGCACAAGCTATCAGGTCTAACTCACACCCACCCACATCTACTCATGTATTTATCCAACCTATTTTTAAAGCTACACAACGTTCTGGCCTCTATAACGGTACTTGGGAGTTTGTTCCACTCATCCACAACTCTATTACCAAACCAGTACTTTCCTATATCCTTCCTGAATCTGAATTTTTCCAACTTAAAACCATTGCTGCGAGTCCTGTCTAGGCTAGATATTTTCAGCACACTATTTACATCCCCTTTATTTATTCCTGTCTTCCATTTATACACCTCAATCATATCCCCCCTAATTCTACGTCTTTCTAGAGAGTGCAGTTTCAGGGCCCTTAGTCTATCCTCATAGGGAAGGTTTCCGATACATGGGATCATCTTTGTCATCCTCCTTTGTACATTTCCAGAGAATTTATATCCATTCTGTAATACGGTGACCAAAACTGTGCAGCATAATCTAAATGAGGCCTAACCAAGGATGTATAGAGTTGAAGAACAACCTGAGGACTCCTATTATTTATGCTTCTTGATATGAAGCCAAGGATTCTATTAGCTTTATTGCGAACACTTATGCACTGTTGTCTTGGTTTCAGATTACTGCTAACCAGAACTCCTAAATCTTTTTCGCAATCCGTAATATTAAGATCTACATTATTTAGTTTATATGTGGCATGGTTATTGTCCTGTCCAACATTTAGAACTTTGCATTTGTCTATATTAAACTGCATCTGCCACTTCTCCGACCACTGCATCAGTCTATTCAAATCTTCCTGGAGTGCTCGAATGTCCTCGTCAGAATGAATTCGACGGCCTATTTTGGTGTCATCGGCAAACTTGCCGATATCGCTCTTTATGCCCTCATCTATGTCGTTTATGTAGATTGTGAACAGCAGGGGGCCCAACACTGACCCCTGTGGAACACCGCTCGTGACGCTTCCCCACTCTGATTTCTCCCCATTTATGCAAACTCTCTGCTGCCTATTTGTCAACCATGCCTCTATCCAGGAAAAAATTTCTCCTCCTATTCCATGTGCTTTAATTTTCCTCAATAGTCTCTGATGTGGGACCCTGTCAAAAGCCTTACTGAAGTCCATATACACAATATCATATTCATTACCATGATCTACCTCCTCAAATACCTTAGTAAAAAAAGTTAATAAATTCGTAAGGCAGGAACGCCCCTTTGTAAAACCATGCTGAGATTCGTTGATTAATTTATGCTTTTCAAGATGGCTACGAACTGCCTCGGCAATTATTGATTCCATAAATTTTCCCACTATGGAGGTTAGGCTTATTGGTCTATAGTTCGAAGCTAAGGACCTGTCACCTGTTTTGAAAATAGGTATCACATTTGCCATTTTCCACTTATCTGGCACCATGCCAGTTTGTAGTGATATGTTGAAAAGATTAGCCAAAGGTGTGCTAAGCTCCTCTTTACATTCCTTTAGAACCTTTGCATACAGTTCATCAGGGCCTGGGGATTTGTTAGGTTTTAATTTATCTATTTGCCTAAGGACCATGTCACTTGTGACCCTAATAGTGCACAGTTTATTATCGTCCTGTTCTACATAATTTATCATTACTGGAATATCGCTGGTATCCTCCTGTGTAAAAACTGAGAGGAAGTATGTGTTAAAAATTCTACACATTTCCTTATCACTGAAATCTCCAATAGCACCCAATAACTGAGTAAGTCTATCTTTCATAGGCTTCTGCCCAGACAACATGGCCTCCTCCTTTGTGATGAATGTTGGCCTGGGCAGTCTTGTCCATATTATTGAGAAATTTGGCATTTGCCATAATAAGGTTTTCAAACTGAAGCTGAAAAGCTTCAGCAGCTTCCTAATCAGCACTGGAAGCCTTACCATGTTTCACAACACTTTTAATATGAATCCTTTTCTTGAAGCCCCCAATCCACCCAGTGCTAGTTTTAAACTAATCATATGGAGTAGCATCACTTCTTAACCCTTTAAGGGCCCAGACCCCCAATCTGAAAATTCCCCACATGGTCCAAGAATTTAAAAAAAAAAAAAATTCTTATGAAATGGTAGAGAACCTTTTTCTGAAGGTAATATAAAAAAAGTACAGTAGATCGTCATTTAACATGGTAGTTACATTCCTAAAAAATGCCGTGTTACGTAAAACCGTAACAGAATAACTGAAGAACTTATGGGAAAAATAGGGTTACATTCCTGGGAGCCCCAAAAAAGCCAAACAACTTTTTTTTAGGCCTCCACATCTTACAAAAATGAAAGTGAATATGTAATTGCAGTTCACTGTCATGATGTATTATGTTGCTTTTACTGCATAAGATTATAAAAGCAACAGCAATAATGGTATTTCTTACCTTAAATTGTGGGTGCTGGTGTTTATGGAGAGTGGAGAGTTATGCTGTGGCCCTACTGGGCTGAGGTGGATGGTTGTACTGGAGTGTGCATAAATTCTGTAATGGATTTCTGTTCTATTTTACCCTACAGTGCATTGTACAACTGATGGAACAACATCAGCTGCTCTAGACACCGTTTCAGGGTCTTCTTCAGTGAAAAAGTCTAACTTTAAGTCATTCAGTTAGTCAGTCAAGTCAGTAAGTCTATCAAGTCATTCAATTAAGTCAGTAAGTCAGTCAATCAAGTCAATAAGGCATTCAGTCAAGTCAGTCAGTCAGTCATTCAGTGAGTCAGTAAGGCATTCAGTCAAGTCAGTCAGTCAGTCATTCAGTGAGTCAGTCAGTCAATCACACAAGCTCATGTTTACCTCATTTTGTGTGCACAAAGCGGGCTTCATTACGACCACAGGTTATCTCTTGTCTAATATCTGTTTTCTTCGTTAATTCTAAGGCTTAAACGCTTATACCTTTTCTTGCCACTTTCAGCAACACTGGTATGCCTACTGGGTGTCATGACTGCTTGGCAGATACAAGATATGGTAATTAAAAGATCAAAACACATTCACAAACACAGCTAGCTTGAAATAGGTAGTAGGTTGGTAGACAGCAACGGCCCAGGGAGGTACTACCGTCCTGCCAAGTGAATGTAAAACGAAAGCCTGTAATTGTTTTACATGATGGTAGGATTGCTGGTGTCCATTTTTCTGTTTCATAAATATGCAAGGTTTCAGGTACGTCTTGCTACTTCTAC